AAGCTGACTCTATGGAGTTGCCCTTTGAAGTCCAGCAAAAATTAATTTCTTATGTGTTATGTAAGTATTGCCAGCAGCTATAAAGCAAATGTAACCAGACAAATAGCTTACAGCTCAATCTTTGCAAGTCAGTGGCTCGCTCGGTCTACGGAGAAATTTTTTTTTCTTCTCATAAGTGATGTCTTCCAAGTAAGCGTTCCCTGCTTCTACATGTAGTCAGCAGTCAGTGTTGTGTGTTCATAAGTACTGACTGAACTGTCTTGGTGAAGTGGGGTGACGAGTTCTTGAAATGTGTGGTATTTGTCAGCCAGCTGAATCGCACCATTGTTTTTGGGTGAACGCTTCCAGTGTTACACATGATATATTGTAATACCAAAAACAGGAATGCTTTCTTTTTCTTATGAACTGAAATGGTTCACGCTGAGTTTTTCACTTCCAACTGTTTGGTTGGGCTTTTTCCTGCCTAAACTCTTTATTTTGTTGTTTTAATGTGGAGCCTGAAATTTGAATTTCACAGTGTGTGGACGTGCGTGGGACTACGCTCACAGAACGATTGTTCTTCTCTGCAGCGCTCCTTCAGCATGCCCTCTTGTCTCTGTAGCGCTGTTTGGAGCCTCTGCTCTGCCCGTTGCTTTAACCAGGGGTCGCGTGGGGCTGAAAATGCCGTTTGCAGCTTTAGCTGGAGGGTCTTTACGCTTATCTCTCCTTGCCTGCATGGCCCTGCTGTCTCATTCTCTCACTCTCGATGTATCTGTATATCTCGTCTCCTCTGCACAGCTTTCTTCACCACTTGCTGAGATAACTCCCCCTCATGAATTTTTCTCTTTGCTTAATATGAGGCTGCTACTTCTATATCTCTACTACTATATCATCCCACACTAACTTTTTGCAGCTTTGTCTTGCACTTACTATGCCAACTATAATACTCTTTATCTCAGGTTTGAGCATAAAATGCAGGATAATTGACTGACTCTACAGATCTTTTACCAAGTTTTATGTTTTCAGTTGGTTGCTATGGACCAGATTTGTGGGCAGCATCAGTGCAAAATGTTCTTTTGGTGTTGAAGATCTGCTGTTCAGATTTTATAAAGAGGCACAATGAATATTTTTCAAACTAAACTGGGTGGAGGTTTCCCTTTCAGTGCACAACAATTTTGGGAGAAGGGTATTCAAATGATTCACACAAACATGAGGAGAGCGGTAGGCTAGTTATTGCAAATAACACTGAATTTATCACTGAAAAAATGCATGTCTCATTTTACAGCTTTTGTGGTTGTGATAGTTGTCACTGGGTGTTAATTTATTGCAGAGGGTTATCAGAATGGCAGACTGAACTGAACCTAATGTGGAATGTGGTGGGAGGAAGAGAGGCCCAATATAGCAGAAATCAAACGTGTATAACAGAAAAGACTACTACTGTAACAATTTGGCGAGTACAGTACTCACTCCCACATTGGTTCCGCTTGATTTTGACCTGCAGATTTGTGCTGCTCTTTGTAGAAATCTGGTCACAGTGGTTAGTAGATTTTTTGCAGAACTTTCCACTCCCATCAGTGCATTTGATGATGGTGATTGTGGCCTCATGCTAAGTGCACAAACTGTCAGAGAATGAAAACGTTTGACAAAATTTCAAATTTCTTAAACTTCCTAAACTATCTGAGCAGCTTCTTGATGCATGCTCAATCATCCAGTTAAATAAATCCCCAAAAGGGGAGTCTGTTGATCAGGACGTAGTGTTTTTAGTGGGAGACACATTTTGTCATCCAAGTGACTTCTTCCATCTGAAGAAGTCACTTGGATGAGGTAATTCAGAAGGTACAGGGAGTGCAGAATTATTAGGCAAGTTGTATTTTTGAGGAATAATTTTATTATTGAACAACAACCATGTTCTCAATGAACCCA